GCTCCTGGCCTTACTACTAGGAGCAAGAAGCTACTAGGAACAAAGGGCATTGCTGCTAGGAGCTACTAGGGGCTCCTGGCCCTACTACCAGGAGCAAGAAGCTACTAGGAACAAAGGGCATCGCTACTAGGAGCAAGGAAGCTACTAGGGGCTCCTGGCCTAGGAACAAAGGGCATCGCTACTAGGAGCAAGGACGCTACTAGGGGCTCCTGGCCTTACTACTAGGAGCGAGAAGCTACTAGGAACACATCGCTACTAGGAGCAAGGACGCTTCTAGGGGCTCCTGGCCTTACTACTAGGACAAAGGGCATCGCTACTAGGAGCAAGGACGCTACTAGGGGCTCCATGGCAGGTCAAGGTCCAAAGCTTTACCACTGATGTGCCTCATCGAATGGAGAAAAACAGTAGGAATTAGATGGAATCAGAGTATCCTGGAGTCTTGTGTTTTGCTTCCGTTGTTTTGCTTCGTTTGCCGAAAAACCCGACAATGTCACACCCTGACCGAGGCTCATCATGACCATAGACCGTCATTGCGGTGGCAACACCACCTTTGAGGACATCCCCGAGGCGAAGAGTCGTTCCGTTGGAGTGCTGCTCTCATTTGCTCTGATTTGGACACCGGCTATGCAATAGGTGTGTGTGTTTGGAATCGTCAAGGGATTTATCTTTTGTTGGAGGCCAAGAGATCCACGAGATCCACACATAGCACGTGTGAGGCAAAGATCTTCGAGCTCGATCGCTTGGACATCGATGCCTCAAGAGATGTGGAGGACTCCGCATTGCCATGTTTTTACTTTTCTAAAGTAGAGCTTTTGCATGTTGAGCCATGCTAAGCTCACCAACCGTGTCTTCAGATCGATTGTGTCGAGAACCCTTCTTGTGCTTGAGCTTTCCACCCCAAGATGATGTTGCTGTTGAATCATGAAGAATTGTAAAGATCCCTTTGGAGGCTCCAAATGAATTCAAAGTCGCAGGTGAATTTGGTAGACCAAGATCGAAACCTGCTTAGTTATGCATCCAAGCACCAGTGGTCGTGCATCTCGTAGATCAGATTCCTTTGTGGAGAGTTTTGCAAGGGTCGAAGGTTCAGGGGTCTCATAAGTGAATCTATTCGCCCGAGAGCCCCTCAATAAGAGAACTTCTAACGCATCTTAGATGTTCTCGGCGAGGAATTTGACTGGCACGTCCTCATGAGTCAAGCCGAGGGAGCACTTTGTGCCAAAATGGTGGAAGAGGCGCGGGTTGTTCCTAGAAGCGATGCACTTGTTACTACTAGCTTCTTGTTCCTA